CCTGAGAAAATTTAAAAAATAAGTTTTCAGAGTTTAAATTCTTTTATATCTGGGATTCCGAATTCTATGAAAAAGGCTAATTATACTTAATACAACATTAAAATACAGAAATGGGTAGTTTTGTTATTTTCACATGCACATTGTTTATAGAAAAAATCTCAGAATCTTTTTTTTTTTTTTTTTTTTTGACATAGCAACATCAATCCAGAGATGTTCTACCACTGAGCTTCATCTCAGACTTTTTCCTTATTTTTGAGATGGGCTCTTCCTACATTCCCCTGACTGGCCTTGAACTTACAACTCTCCTGACTAAGGCTCCCCAGGAGTTGGGATTTCAGATGTGGGCCACCGCTCTTAGCTTAGAATCTTTTCAATAAAAAGCATACCATTAATAACGGTTCTTGGCTTGGGGATTTAACTCAGTGGTTCTGCCACCTGCCTCGCAAACGTTAGAAACTGAGTTCGATCCCCGGTACCAATAAACAAACAAACAAACAAATAAATAAAATGGTTCTTAATGTAACTTAAAAATACCCTTTTCTTTCCAGATTTCCTTGAGGAACAAAAAAGGGACAGAAGAGGAGCAGAAACAACAGACTTTTATAACCAGATTCAGAACCCTTGTAACACAGGGAGTGAGGAACATTTCCAAGCCTTGTGGCACACAGACTGGAGAAGATAATAGTTCTTGATCTAACACAGGGGCCTACAAACCTTCTCTCTACAGAGCCAGATCTGCCTTTACAATACAAAAGCATACACAGACCATATGTAAATGAACAAAGTGGTTTAATTTGGCCCACAGGCCTAGTTTGGTGATTTCTACCCAGAAGTGCAAGTCTTTAAAGAACTGATTACAAGAGTTCCATGGAGGCAAGTATGGTGGAACACTTTAACAATCCCAGCTCTAGGAGGCTGAAGCGAGAGGACTGTAAAGTTGAGCGGGGCCTTGACAAATGAGCAAGTTAGCAAGACCCTTTCTCAAAAAAAAAAAAAAAAAAAAAAGTGAACAAGAAGAGGAGTTGGTTTCTTCTAGAGGCAGTGGTTGGTGGGGTGGGGACATTGTTAAAGAACATTCCAGTTCAAGGCATGCACTGTGGCAGGAACAGAGGGGGCTGATTTAGGCAGAAGGAGAATGGCTGATGAGTCAGGAGTAAAGGCATAAAGTTCGTTATAGATTAAAGATTTTGGACTCTATCCTAAATGTGCCAGGAAGCTACTGCAGGGTATTGAACAGAGAATTGATTTATTTGGTAATTCAACAAATACTTATTTATAATTTTTTTTAGTACCAGGGATTGAACTCAGGACTTTCTGCTTGCAAGGCGGGCAGCAGCACCAATGAGCTAAATCCCCAGCCCAAATACTTATTTATTGAGCACTTATCATATATTAGGCACATATAAGTAAAGATCCCTACACTTTACAAGACAAGGATTCCTGTATAGAGGAGACAAACCATAAACAAGTCAGCCTTGCTGTAAGTGCTAAGAAAGAAATATACCTCTGAGGTAAGTTATGCTGAGATACCAAGAACAGATCAAAAAACAAAATAAAACAGTATGCAGAACCAGAGCAGAGAATCCAGAAGAAAAAGTGGGCAAGAATTTGGCATATAGTCAGTGATGTCCTAGGACCAATGTGATTACAGCAGGCATGGTGAAGATGGTTGAATGAGGGAGGTGGGGTCTGTTCAACAGGGCACGAAAGCTAAGGACAGCCACTCAGGTTTCAGTAGGGAAATGCTACGACTTGACAAGATTCTGCTTCATGGAAAAAATACTGGAGGGGGCCGGGCATGGTGGTGCACGCCTGTAATCCCAGCACTTGGGAGGCTGAGGCAGGAGGATCACTGTGAGTTCAAGACCAGCCTGGGCTACATAGTGAGTTTGAGGTCAATCTCAACTACATAATGAGTTCGAGGTCAATCTCAACTACATAGTGAGACCCTGTCTCCAAAAAAAAAAAAAACAACCCCCCCCAAAAAAAACTGGAGGGGCATATAAATGGAAACAAGGAAAACTAGGATATTATTCTGGTAACCCATGCCAAAGAGACAATGATGGCTCAGGATATAGTGGTAGTAGTGAAGATGAAAAACAGATTTGAAATATCTTGGAGGTAAAATTACAGGATTTATAGAAGAATTAATGATGATTCTTAGAGGTCTGGCTTTGGTAAACAGGTGGATGGGCATACCATTTATTGAGATGGGTTTGGAATGATGAAAAAACGAAAATTTTCTTTTGATTATGTTAGCTTTGACATGCCTAAGATAGTCTAATTAAACAGGCATTTTGACATAATTCTGGAACCAAGAGAGAAGGGTAGGCTAGAGATTTAAACCTGGGAATTGCTAGTTTTCAGATGATAAATGAAGCTCTGTGACTGGATTACCTAAAGGAAACATGTAGAGACCTAGGATTAAACCCTGAGAAAAACCCAACATACATACATACATTTATTTAAAGTTAGGTAGAGAGGAAAAATGACTAGCAGAGAAGACTGAAAAGAAACAGCCAGGTAAGTGGAGAAAATCTGAGTGAAGCCTCAGTGCAACCAGAAGAAGAGTGTCAAAAAGGAGTAAGTATGCCGGGGATTTAGCTCAGTGGTTCGGTGGCCTGCCTTGCAAGTGCAAGGACTCGAGGACAGGAGTACAATCCCTGTACACCCCACCCCCAAAAGGAGTAACTGTGTCAAACAGTCCAGGAAGATGCGAACAAAGTATCCATTTGATCTGCTAACATAGTAACCCTGACAAGAGTAATTCCATTGGACTGTTCCAAAAGAACATTTGTATAATCCGAGCAATGAATAAAAGGTGAGAAAGTTGAATTGGCAAGATGGAAATCTGGTTTTGAAATTTTAAAAAGTAGTATGATAAGAGGAAGAGAGGCATGTAAAGGAAACCAAAAAATAATCTGCATGCTAATGGAACAGTGCATATGTGAATGTGTTGTTTTGTTGCAGTACTAGGGAGTGAACTCAGGGCCTTGTGCATGCTGGGCAACTGCTTACCACACTGAGCTATTATCCTCAGTCCCGGGAACATAGTTTTATGGAGACAGGATTTGGTGGTTGGTTTTATTGGGAAATAACAGAGAGGAAGAAAACCAATGTTATGTGCAGTATGGATAGTGGTACTATTTATTGAGATCAAGAACACAGAAGCAAGGACAAATTAATTTTCCTCCAAAGATCATATGTTTCCATAACAATTTCTTTTTTGTGAAGGAGACCTCTGCAAGGAAAGATGTAAAATGTGACCCAGTATCTCTAAACTGTATCACTTTGTGATGTGATTAATCTCTTGATGAGATTTAAACCTCTTAGTGATGATGCTGCGCCAACCAAATCTAGTAGTCATGTAAATGCTAATCTAATCTAGTAGCCACATAAGCCAAAGGAATAAAAATGAGTTTGTACTAGTGGAAGGGATGCTAAATTCATAGTTGATGGGACAGCAGTTTTTTTTTTTTTTTTTTGGTACCGGGGCTAAAACTCAGGACCTTGTGCTTGCAAGGCAGCCACAGAGCCACTGAGCTAAATCCCTGGCAGTAATGTTTTTTTTTTTTTTTGTTTTTTGTTTTAAAAACACTGAAGACTTAGGCCAGGCATGGTGATGTGCACCTGTCCCAGCTACTGGGGTGTCTGAGTCTGGAGTATCTCCCGAGTTCTGGAGTTAGAGAGAAGCCTAGGTAACACAGCAAGAACCTTACTTCAAAAATCAAACTCAAAAAACACTGAAAACTTAAAACTGGTAATGTGTAGTGGAACTACTCTTTTATTTCTAAAGAAATGAGTCAAATTCAATACTGCTCACTCTCCGGCTTAACAACACTCTTTTGCTCCTTGTGACATTACATTGAATTTTCATGGAAGTGTTTTTAGAGAGCTTAAGTCTCCCCCTAAAGGGAAATTAGTATCAGTTCTTGTGACAACTCAGGAAAATGAATTGCTCCAGCTAGTTCAAGAGAGTGCGAAGAGAAAAGCAGACCCTGCAAGAAGATAAAATTTAGACTTAGTCCGTTCTGATGTTTATGGTAGGTGTTTGGAAAATGTTTGGAAAGCTGAATCTACAGAGAATGGATGGACTTCAGGTACGTCTACAAGCCCTCTGATCTTTAGAAAGAGATGAGGGTGGCAACCATCTCCAAAAAGTTCTAACTGTATTATTCAACAATATTGGAAGCGCTATAATGTAGCATAGCCTCCTAGCCTGATAACTGAGTTGCTGGAAGCCAGGTAGGATTCACATCCCCAGAACAAACAATTAGGTCACCCGTTAACAGGTCAGAAACCCTAGGTCCTTTCCATTCTCAATCCTTTCGGGTGGCCCACTTTTCAAAAAGCTCCAGAAGGACTGAACCCCACGAAGCCTGTTGATTCAACAGGCACCCAATTCACAGGTTCCAGGTGCTACAGGGTTTGGGAAAGCCTTGGGACTAAGATCAACTACCTTGCGTTCCTCCCCTCTTCCCCCTCACAGAGCAAGGAAGGCCTGGGGGGCCCCCTTCCCGCAGACGGCTCCCTAATGCCTCTTCCCTTATGGGTTCAGGCCCTATGAGCCAGGTTCCCTACCTGACCCAAGCGAGAAACATACTCTCCAGTCTGAATTTTACCTGCGTGAGGCCCGCCGCTTCTCCGGTGCGCAAAACCCCAACCGAGGAAAATGGAGTCGTCGAACCGAGACTGGAAAAGGATAGTACGGATCCACCGCACGGTCCCTTCGCCGCCACCGCCGCCACTGCTGCGTCAACGTGTTACGTCACTTCCGGCTCCCTGTCACTGGGAGTGGGAGGGCCACTGGTTGCCCCCCTGCCCCAGTCTCTTGGGGGCTTTCGTCCCCAGCGTGCGGAAGCTGGAAGAAAGCGATTTAGGGAAGCAGCTTTCACACAGGCCTCGAAACACAAAAAGGGGTTCGAAGACAACCTGGCCCTGAGAGTTCCTCAAGCTGCTCTAGCCAAAGAAACCATGAAGATCAGACAAGGGCGCCTTCACTTCCTTTAGTCCGTGGTTCAGCCTTCAGCTTCCGGTTCCGGGGAGGGGCTAAATTTTCTTGGAGGATTAAGGGGTCTGAGGTCCAGCTGGGATGGCTGTTGTACCGCTGTTGTTGTTCGGGGGTTTGTGGAACGCTGTGGGAGCATCCAGTTTGGCTGTCGTTACTTGCGGTTCTGTGGTGAAGCTACTCAACACGCGCCATAATGTCCGACTTCACTCACACGACGTGCGCTACGGGTCAGGTACTGCTGAGAGGGCTGGAGCGGCCTGGTAGACTGGAGGAGGCGGGGCCTTGGAAGGTTAGGGGTACCCTGGGGAGGTTTCTGAGGTCCAGAGGAAGTGAGGTGAACTGAGCTGTTTCAAGGCAATTTAATCTTAATATCTGCTTCTATGTAGTGAGCTACTTGCCACGCATGTTACATATGTACTTTCCCCAATTTTTAAAACAAAATGGATACTATTGTTACTCTAATCCTTACAGATGAGGAAACATTGAGAGAAATTAAATCGCTTACTTAACTCCTTGCAAACTAGCGAATGACAGACAGGATTGGATTCAGATCTATCCAGGTACAAAACTTGCTTTTAGCTGCTCTGGCCTGTCTCCATTCAGTGTGAGAGAGACAAGACAGGTAGAAAGTTACAGTAAGGGATATATCTCTAAAATCTCAAACTCCAATTGATTATGCTATTTGATTGCAACCCTCAGTTTTGCACCTTATGTATGCTTTTAGCGCCTATCTTTTGGCCCCTTTTTACTCAATCTTTCTTTTAAAGAACTTAAAGCAATAACAGGCATTATAGAGGAAACTGACTTTTACCATTAAGATTAAAATACTTAATAATAAGTAATTTGTGGGTCTATTCATTTAACATAGACTTAATGAACCCATGACAAAGTGAATCTGCCAAGTCACAAGAAAGAGAGTAAAATAGACAAAAAAGGAGAGAAAGAAGTTCAAAGGCTGAATTAGCTCAGTGATAGACTGCTTACCACATGCAAGGCCCTGTATTACATCCCAACACTGAAAAGAAAAAGAAGAAAAACAGCGAGATGTGAGGAGCATAACTTAGATGACTAATGATGCTATTATCTTAGAGAGGAAGTTCTCTCAGATGAGCTGGACTGTAAGTTCATGATTGGGGTGGGGGACCTGACTGACCAGTTGAACTAGGAAAGGAACTGAGTTGTCCTTATTGGGATGTCCTAACAATCCTAGCAATTATTCAGGTGAGCACTAACTATACTTTAGGCTTAATTTTAATTTGATCTGTTTTTCTCTTTTGAATCTACTGAATTAGGATAGAGGTAGAGAGAAGCTTAGCAGTAAAGAATTGTAGGTTTCAAATACTCTTGGAGCTCAGAAAAGGGTTCTGTGCTGAATTTGAGATAGAGTTACATACAGCATCTGACAGATGGTGTTTGTGGTGTGATGAGAGTATATGAAATTGCTCGGATTCAATTGTGGTTCTTACTGTGAAAATTACAGTAAATTCTGTGTCAACTTGAAGCACTGGAGATACTTGAAAAATGTACAAATGCTTTTGTCCTGAGTCCCAACAAGTGCCTAAGAACTACTGATGGAAGTAGAAGTAGAAGTCTGGGTAATCTCAAAGTATAAGGATTAGGGTGGAGGAGAAAAAAATAAAAGATGAAATGGAGACCATAATTTAGTGAGCAGAGCTGTAAGGCAGTAACTAGAAGAACAGTTGGTTTGTCTTTTTTCTTTTCTTTGTCTTTAAAAAAAAAAAAGATGTAACAAAACATACAGGCAGATGCCTGTAATGCTAGCACTGCATGGCTGAGGTAGGAGGAGAATCATGAGTTTCAGACTAGTTTAGGTTAGGTGGCAATTTCAAAGCCAGTCTGGACTACATAGTGAGAAACTGTCTTTAAAAAAAATCAAAACAAATGTATGAGCTGAGTGGGAGAAGTCAGTAGAGAGGAATTGATAGTTTGTTACATTTGCCCAGATAAGTAGTACCTACAAAGTATAAAGTGTTATGTGGTAAAAGGGCAGTATCATTAAAAGCTTGTGGTCAGGTAGAGCCCAGGATGTGAAGACAAAGATGAGAGTATTTGAGGAAAGTATCTGGGAAATACTGTATGGGGAACTTTCAAAGAATTGGGGAATGAATGAAGCCTAGGGAAAAGAATATCCCTGGAGTTTATGAGAGAGTAACCTACTTGGAGGAACTTAGCAGAAAATAAGGCAGGAAGAAGAAAGGTAGAACATAAGTGGTAAAGAGTGTTAGTTCCAGTTTAACTCCAGCCTTGTTACAGCTGCATACTTCATACTTTCTAACACGCCATTATAAAGTGGGGTTCATAATATACCTAACTCAGGCTGGGGATTTTGCTCAGTGGTTCCACCACCTGCCTCCCAATTGCAAGGTCCCAATTTCAATCCCCAGTATAAAAAAAATTTATATATGTGTGTGTGTGTGTGTGTGTGTGTGTGTGTGTGTATACATGTATATGTACATGTATGTGTGTGTATATATATATATATATATATATATATATATATATATTTGTACACACACACACATATATTCCTAACTCAGAGAACAGATGCATGTATTAAATAACATGAGAACAAAGGACTTGGGTTAGTGCCTGAGACCTGGTAAATGTTCAGCATATATTAGTTAACTATGAGTTTTATATGTGTGTGTGTGTGTGTGTGTGT